ATTTGCATTTAGAAAAAAATATATTTAAAACATTTTAACTATATCTTCTAAAAAATTATTTGCAGATTTTAAAAACATTTATTACTCTATATAAATAATTCGCAAAAAATGTTATAAAAAGACACAATGCTTACTTAAATGAGAGATACGTTGTGTTACATTTTTAATCGATAAAAATCTTTATTGATTCAATTTAAGATAGTATGTTGTATATACAATTAGACAGCTTTCTTATCCAGATTGCTTTTATCTTTCAGTCGATTTCGTATATAGAAACAGAAATAAATAATAAGAAAAAGAGTTAAGCAGTTATGTATTAATATGAACGCAAATCTAAGGAGCAGCAATTGTGATAATAATTATTATATATAATATATACAATATAATATTATATACAATATAATTATTATATAATTTTCTCATTGCTATTTATTATTCTAACTCTGTGAATTAGATTCCAATTTTCCTTTATTAAAGAAAATGATCGTTGTACCTAATTTTTTATTCAATAATATTCATATAAGTAGACATTACAATGAGAAAAAAAAATTTTATTTTAACAAAATGCTTACATACTTATTTCGTACATGACGTTAAAATCGGAAGCGCTATAATGAGTCAGATTATATTATTGAATGATATAATCAATCCCACACACAAATTATATAAAATTATATATAATATAAATTTCTCTCTTTCTCTTTCATATATATAAATTATATTATATTATAAATTTATATAATGCAACCCCCCACGGGTACACCTTGACGCGGTGGGGTGGCTCAGTACTACTGATGGTGCCTTGAGATTTATTTTAAATTTTTTTATTTAGGATAAATCTCAAGGAACTTGAAGGGGAAGCTAAGTACCCAGCACAGCATTGCCACGAGTTTCACAATAGCTCATATGTGGCACGTGCATTTGATGCGTTGGACGCATTGCATCGTTGACTTTCCGTCGTCGGTGCCGTCAACGTGTCGCGGACGGCGGCGTCTCGTTACCGCGTTTTCGCGTTTAGCTTTTTCGCGTCATCGTGTTTTCGCGCTTCCGCGTTGGACTTTTCGTATAAAAATCCCAATTTCATTATTTTCATGAGTCTCTACTTCCGATGCCAATTAACTAGGATTTCGAGTTTGCACACGTTGCGCTATGCAACGTACACTCGTGCTTCGTGCTCCATCAAGTGATTCGGTCCGAATTGGTTAGAACTCGATCGATTAGTCGTCAATGGGTCCCTTCTCTTTGCTCGTCTACAGCACTGCGTGTGTTAACCCTGTCGAGGAGTCGAATGGATTCTTCTAGGCATGATTTTCGCTCGGTAAAAGAGGTTGCCTCCTCATTTTCTAAATTGCTGATTGCTAGCATTTAAAAAATGTGGGTATCCTCTTCTTTTGCCGTCTACTAGCCTGGTGTAGCATATAGAAACCGAGACATAATATGTCCGGGCGGAGCACCAGAAATCGTGCTTAGCGGGTCCAGCTTCGATACGAGATAGGATAATTATGCGCGAAAAAGAATTGGTGAACTTCATTTTCCTCTACTTCCGTCAATTGTTTCATCTTTTTTCCGGTTTGGACTTAATCCATGCTTGCTGTATCGTTGCATTCCTGACCTGTTGACTCGAAGCTGATTCTCATAAATGAAATGGGATTTTCGTTCGTACCGAAACCGGGAGTGTCGTTCAAAGTATATACATATTAAGTATATACATCGCGCGATCAAATATAAAATTTTTAATCGCATTATGCCGTTCAGTATCGCGCGTAAAAGTGCGAAAATAGCGATAAAAATATCGCTCGTGAGTGCGGGAGTGCCGTAAAGTATCGCGCGTCCAAGACTGAGAGGAGGAGGAGGTCTAGGAGAGGCATCGGGCTCCGGCAGAGTAACCTTCTGGTAAGTAATTTATTTATTTATAATTGTATATTAAATATTAAATATATTTATTATAATTTAAATTAAACAATTAATCGCGTAATTTGATTTTTTATTTATATAATTTAAATAAGAGAGAATTTTGAAGAAAAAGATTTTTATATAAAATCTATAATCTTATACAATTAGCTATATATAAGCTTTTATAAAGTATTAGAGAATTATTAGTAATGTTTTTTTTTCTAAAATTTATAGAATTATTTTATTAATCTGCTATTATTATATGTATCGAATGTAAAATTCAATACATGTAATAAACTTTTGAAATATTAATTATTTGGATGTTATTACAATTTAAATCTTTTATTTGTTATAGATCAACCTAACAATCCTGATGATCTGAGAGGAAGCGCAGGCCTTGGAAAGGCATCCTGCATCGGCGGAACAACCTGATGGTGAGTACTATTTATATTATTTATTTATATTAATTATTATATCGCGTACACGTACTAATTTGAGTCATTTATTTGAATGATGAAACAAGAAAGATTCAAAGAAAAAAGGTTGTATGTAAATAATCCTATAAAACTTTCTATTTAAAAAAAGGTTTTTCATTTAAAATAGGTTTTTCAGAATTTAAAAAATTATTGCATATTTATTTATTTGTTTATTATTGCACATATCAGATATAAAATTCGGTGCGTACAATAATAATTAAATATAATGAAAGATTAATTATTTTAAGAGCTGCTAATTATATGAATTTTATATTTGTATGTTACAGACAACGTAGCTTCAATATTGACAACTCCGCTGTTGCGCATCAGTGTCGGTGAGTGAAAAACTTTTATTTAATTTTAAGGTAACGAATTTGTGTAGAGCTTGTAGATGTAGATTGTAGATTGTAGGTCCGTTACCTTAAAATGGATGGGCTAGAACAAATTAAATCATATAATTTTTTAAAGTTTTTTTTCAATATACATTAAAGCTTATTAAAAATGCAAAATTGAAATATTATTTAAAGGAAAATTTCATTTTTTATTAATTTTACATTATAATCAATTATTTATTTCATTTAAAATAAATAATATACATAAATACAAAACATAAAGAACATACTAGTAATTTTATTTTTTAATACTATATAATAATTTACTTTTATAATGCATACTGACATTATTTTAATTTTTTATAGTCCATCATTTTTATGTAGTGTAAAACATATTAAAAAACTTTGCTTTAATTGATATAAATCTAAATAAATTATCAATCTATTGAACCATATGTAATGTTTAAAAAGACCAATGATACTATAGAGTGAAAATATAGTAGAAAATGTATAAATAATGTGGAATTAATTTGTTTTATCATAAATCTTTGTTATAAATTTTTTTTATTATAAATAATATTATTTATTGTAAAAATTGCAATCATTTAATTTTGATTAACTTGACACTATATAGCATTATATTAATTAAAGCAAAGTTATATTAAGACGATAATAAACGGTCGTATGACTACGGTATTACGACTGTAAATGAGCGTAAAATTATGCTCATGTACCGATGAAAATAAATAGCCGGCAACGGAAGGAATTTTTCTCCTTCATTGACCTATGATACAGGTCAAAGCTACCTTGGCTAAAAATAGCCAAATGTCTGGATATTCGAAAAGTTAATCTAAAAATGTGCAATGGTACATAATAAACGTGTAAATTAAACGGATAAAATAAACGGGTACGCATAAAATAAATAATAACATATAAAAATAAACTCAGAAAATAAACTCGCAAAAAATAAAGAAACACTACGTTCGTGTAATAAAATCCTAATTAGGGCATATTCCCCAAATCTTAAAAAATCACATATTTCCTCTGGTTTAATTTGCAGAGCAATTAGGCTGTTAGGATCATTGCAACTATTAGGATCGTTAAAGTTGTTAGGATCCTTTAGTAGGATTGTTAGGTAGGATCATTAAGGTTGTTATGATCGTTAGGATTGTTAAGATCACTAGGGTTGTTAGGATCATCAAAATTGTTTAGGATGATTAGGATTGTTAGGATTGCTAGATATAATATTTTATATAGTAGGATTATCTATATATTATAACTTTATTGTATTATAATTTATTATACTTAATTTTAATACTATAAGGCTTTTCTTATAGAATATTAAAATTAAAAGTTATAATGTAAGATCAAAAAATTATATATCATTTTTACAAAGCTGTACAATCAAGATTAATGTATAATGTTCGACATCATTCTTGATTTTTAAAAATATTTACATTGCATATATAATGCGAATTATATGTAATGTGAATGTTTAATAATGATTATATTATATAAGTTACGTTTAATTACGTTCTTTTTTATATTGTATAAATTATATTGTTAATTATGCTATATTGTAAATTGTTTTTATAAAAATTTTACATAATGTTAAATTCAGATGTAAATGTTGTTAATATCTAATAATTTCGGTAATATTAAATAAAACTAAATTATATTAGAATACGAATAATTTCTTAGATTTTTAAAATTTTTAGTTTACTTAAATTGATAAAATATCATCATTATATAATTTAAATAACGTCAAAATGCATTTTTATTATTATTTTAAAACATCTTTGCAAATTACGCGCAACGGTAAATATATCGAATTATTTGATATATATATATATATATATATATATATATATATATATCGTAATGCGCAATATATAAATTTTAATAAATTATAATTTAAATTCACAATATAAATTGATGCTATCAATATCAAATAATTAATGTTATTTTTGACATATTTATTTGTTAAAAAATTTATTACATTTACATTGTATGTGTATGTATGGGTTTATCGTGAAGGATGCGCAGTTATATAAAATAAAATTATATGTTTTAAAGTGATGGTATATGAACATTAAAAATTAAAAACGCATATAAATTATTTAATATTATTGAGAATCTATGTACATATATGTATTTATAAACTATATACATATTCCATTTGCATAACAATATTACATATATAATGTAAAATATTCTCTCAAATTTTCAATATATTGTAACATAAATTTTATTATAAAACTATCTTTAAGTATTTAGTTATTAGTTGCTCAATATAATATCTATTAATTCATAATAATTATAAGTATTGTATTTTTTTGCAAATAGGACTTACTCAGCCTTATAGTTTTCTGTTTAAAGTTTTAAAATGCAATACTCGGTTATTGTTTCGAAAGTTATATAAGTAGTCGAAACTATACACAGCCTTAAAATATTCGCGAGCATCATGCTATTATAAGAGTATCATATTAACATGATGATTAAAGTATTTGTTACAAAATATTTACAGCAACTTCTCGTAAGGCAACGCTGGCGTATTATTAACATTGATACGTTTTGTATAAACTGAGTTGCTTGAACATATTTTGCATTGAGTACTTTCGAAAATGATCCAAATGTAGATCCATATCGAAATTCCACATAGATCATTTAGAGTTTGCTTTAGTGTTGAGTTTTGCAATGAAATCCATCGCCTGAGTATCTCCTTTTCGATGCTCTAATGCGCGAACGACATCCGTACCTTTAAATCAATTTTATATTTAATATAATTTCATATTTAATTTATATTTAATATAAAATTTACAAACAGTGGATATAATTAAATTGTATGCATATTTAATAAATAAATGCATGTTTTATATAAATTTTTTAAATTATGAAAGTAAATTAATTATAATGTTAAATATAATTATTATTAGATTGTAACTATTATGAACTATATGAATTATTAATTCTTGAAATATAATGCTAATGAAATATAATGTTCTTGAAATATAATAAAAAAATTTATTTATTTTATAATACTTACTTTTTTTGGTTGGTCGGGAAAGTTTTAAATGAACTTGTTCTAAAGTTGGAAAGTTAGTTTCAGGTTCAGTGTCAGGAATCTCGCTAAATGGTAGGAAAGCTTCAGCCATAAATTTTGATCTAAGAAAGTCTTTGTCTTTCATTTCAAATGCCACTATAGCATTTTCTATGGCTCTTTGTTCCGGAGTAAGACTACTAAAATGTTAGAAATATTTTATGAGAATACCAGAATATCATATATAATTAATTAAATAATTTTGATTAATAATCAACTCTTTTACTAACATGTTAAATGTTTCGTCAAAAAGGGGAAAAAGTGTTTCTTTTTGCACATGTGTTTTTGGCGCCTTTATATCCGCAAATTTCTCATCAGGCAATAATTTGATTTTTACATAGGAATCACATTTACCTGTAATAAACATAATAAACTTATATTTTATATAACATATATAATATAGATGTGCCCATTAAACATTTGAAGAAACCCAGTGTGAAACTATTCATGCACGGTGAAGATGATTATCACTGTCGACGTAATCTATCTTATCGATGAGGTTATTATACTTTCATTTTCATTGCATATGTTAAATAATTTTAATTATATTCAAAATAATTTTTTTGTTTAATGATTTTGCTATCTCATACATTTGTTATTGATAATAATAATTTTAAAGAACCTCATGTATAAATAAGATTAGACAGATAATTGACGTGAATTAAATATTCCGTGCCGTGTTCGATTTTTAACTCAGGAAGACCATTCACTAAAATTCACAGTATTCACTAAAAACAGAGACTATTTTTCTATTTTTATAAAATATCAATACAAATTTGTTCGAGTCATGCATTTTCAAAATGCTATTTTCACGAGAGCAGGCAATCTGATAGAGAATCATGTAATAATGATGAGGGAGAACTTGATTTTACACTTGCTTTTACATACTTGTCTTCCCTTCTTTCAGTCTTTGTTTAGATTTTGAGTGCAGTTTGCGCTCAAGAGTAGACAGCTTGCCTATAAAATCGCCTACAAAATCGAAAAAAATATCATTCTTTCTTTTAAAGAAGTTCGCGATTGGTTACACTAACGATCAAACATTAAAGTTGAAATAACCACTCTCCTATGATAAGAAAATAATTACACAAGTTCATTTTATAGCCAACTAGTTATTACGTTAAACGTATAAGTGTGTGTTTTAAATTATTTAATCATTACTTGTATCATTAGATATTCCGCTTATAAGACCATTTATCATAATTGCATTTATCATAATTGCAAACTTCATTTGATATTTATTCAATTACTTTTTATTCCTTCTGATTTAATAATATTTTTGTTACTTTCACGTTAACGTTAATTAAACGTTAATTAAACGTTAATTAAACGTTAATTTTATATTATCACGCAAACAACGCGTTAACTTTTTATATTTCTTTATAGATTTTTTTATAGATTATAATTTTGCTTACCATTATTATCCATACTATGAAGATTTCTTGCATTCAAAATCTGTATATTCAGCAAATTATCGATGAAATGTGCTTTGACAGTGATAAGACCATAAATAGGTTCCTCAATTTCTTTCTGTTCTTCTAAACGTTCTTGATGATAACGATGTATGAGCTCAGCAGTTTCAAGTCCGTGTAATTTTAAAAGATGTTCGATCTTCTCTAAAACTTGCACATTCGCTGTTTCATCGGCACCGAGATTAAAAAATCGGATGAGCGTATGAAGAGTTCGATGTAAATTGGAGTAAAAAGCTGGCGGTCGTCGTTTCTGTAAATAATAATGCTATTTTATGAGAAAGAAAAGCTTTAATACGATACAAAAATATGCTTGCATAAATATGTACCTCTAAATTAGTATTGACTAACTTATATAGCGTCTCAGACATGATTTCCCAAATCACTAGGAGAACTCTATTAAAGTTATCCTCGTTTAGATTATCATGTAATGTTGTCAGATTACTATCTAGATACTGTAATAGACGATCCATTGCGTTGCTCGTCGTATCAATTAATTCAGCTCCTTCCATGAGATATCTGAAAGTGCAAGCAAATCTCTCAATAGAATAGCTTAGAATATAATTAAATTAAAAATAATAAGTTGCGCTACAAATTTCGTTATAAATTAAAATGATTAATTGATATAAAGAAAGTAATACTTCTTAAAAGTAAAACTTCTTAATATTTGACGTACCTATTCATCGCAGGAGCCATTTTGTTAGCTACAACTTCCAACAACTCTATGATCTTATTCTTTACAGTATCTGTGGCGTTATCAATAATAAGTTCAAGAGTCTGTCGACAACGATCAGCCTCTTCTTGAGTCTTGTGTTCCCCTAAAGCCTCTACAATTTCTTCCAGTCCTAAATCTTTGGCTAGTGGTGCGATCGACGTTCTAATATAATCTATGTTATTAATCGCAAAACACCAGGCCGTTGATATTGTAAATTTCTTTTCATAAACGCTACTCTGCGAGAGTTGCTCTAATTCCGTTGTCAGTTCTGCTTTTTGTGCCATCTTATCCGCATATGCAATGGAACATTTACAAATGTCCTGTAATAAACAATTATTATTATTATAAATTATATTTAAAATTTCTATTAAAATTTCTACCTAATCTTTTTTTTATCTGTTAATATAAATAAAATGTGTGTGTGTATATATATATATATATATATATATATATATATATTTCTTGTTAATTATATATTTTCTATTAATAAGCATATTATATATTACATTAATTATATTAAACTTTAGGTAGAAAAATTTTGAAACTTACATCAATGATCTTTGCTATAAATGTATAGGAACCTTCAACATCTGGCCATGCAAGTTGTGTCCAAAAGACCTTGATCTGATAGAAAGTTGTTAATGTATCCACGGCGCTCGAACTATACTGAACGCTATTGTCGACTGCTTGCAAAGAGTCAATCTCGACTGCTCTGTCAATGCGTTTAAGTGCTTTGTATACTGCGATGTCCAACCAATGTGCGACACCACCTCGAAACCACTCGTGATATTTTTGTATCTTCATATCCTCCAGCTGTCCTTCGGCACAAAGTACCTGACCAAGTCTGTTAATCAATGTATTGATAATTAAATGAGTTAATTGATTAAAGTTACAGATATTACAAAAAAAAATAAATATGTAAAAATTTTACAAAATTATAAGGACTTACATAGCATATCTCTGAAGTGTAAGATAAAGCTCAAACAAAGTTGTGCCTAAACTTAATTCCGTGTTGTCAGTGCTATCAACTTCAATTCGTTTTAATCTGGCGCATACATCCTCTATAATAATCATGCACATATCGCTGATTCTCTTTTCATACGCAATATACAACAGTCTTGCATACGGAATATTGATTTTTCTAAAAAATTAGTAATTAATATTTATTATACTATTTGTATTTTATTGATTACGTCTTACTCTGCGTTTTTTTAAATCACTTACTTTATGAATAACTTGTCATAATTTTCGATAGCTTTCTGTAAGTCTGATCTAATCAATTGAATTATTTTAATATGATATCTAAGTGCATCTTCGTCCGATTCTGTTTCAGGTGAATTATTGCTTACTATATAATCAAACCTTGAACATATCAAAATGTATCTTGAGTAATTATTAAACAGTATAAATTAATTTAAATTTATAATTTTATTTTATATTTACCACTCTGCACAGCTTTGAATAACAGTGTTTTCCAAGCCTTGAAGTACATCCATTTTGACATTTTCGTCAAATTGAGGAAACCAAGAGTACATTTTGACCGGAAAGAGGTCAATGTCTTCAGGAACTTTTAGAGAGAATATGGATGATAATATCCTATATAATAAAATAATAAAATAAATTTATATAAAGATTTTATTTATCTCTCTTGGAATATTTTTCTATATTAAATTATTAAGTTTATTATCAGTAAAGACATAGATATCATTTAATAATATTTAATACTAGAATAGTATTTATAATATTAGAAAAGCATTTGCATCTTAATATATGATATAGAGTTAATAAAATGATAAAAATGTTAGATAATTACCCCAAAATAGCGGACAGTTGCATCATGACATTTTTATCCCCCAAAGTCAGTCTTCGAATTTTTCGTATACTATTTAAGCATGAATACAGAACTTTTTTGGTGGCATCCCAGAATAATCTAGTTTCATCGGCGGAGAATAAGCCACTGTCCATTGGTCTGAGTAAATCAATTGCGAGCTTATTAAAAACTGTGAAACTTAATGGATGCTCTTGGTGAATCCTTGCGTATTCCACCCATTGTGCCAAAGCGAGATTTCTAGCTAGTAAACCACGTTGAGCACTATGCTGAAGAATGAGAGCTTCGGCTGGTCCCGACCAACGACCACACCAACAGTATTTTTCGATTTTTTCCGCTTCAATCTCATGAAGTAGCAATACTCTTAACAAATGTCGATGTTCTTGTGCGGCCACTTGTACATTATGTTCTGCACTAAAAGCCAATCGAAGTTTTATAACGCCTCGACGTTTGGATTTGTTCTTCTTTTCTAAAGCGTACCACATAGTATGTCCCGTTGATGGTATGTCCTAAAAATATAGAACATGTAATTAATATTAAAAATACAAACAGATCATATATTGCATTTTAGTATTATATAACATATATAAGATAAATGGCTATAACTTCGTCAGCGGATATAATTTCGTCAAGCCTTCTTAAAATTAAATAAAAAAACGATTTGAAACATCGTCTCAAATCAGGAAATATAATCGATATACGCGAGATTGTTTAATTTATTTAATTTTAAGAAGGCTTGACGAAATTATATCCGCTGACGAAGTTATAGCCATTTACCTTAATGTTAAAAAACAATACTGTATATAGTATTAACATAGCTTCTAATAAAAAAGAGGGTGATTAATCATATGTGTATATATGTGTATATAAATAATATATAAATTAAAATATATATGTGTTATATATATCTAGTATATTAATTAATATATTAAGAAAATTTGAATGGCGCATTATATATTTATTTTTATAAGCACTTTCTCTTATAAAAATGTGATGTATTATTAAAAAAATAATATATTTTATATACTCTTTACAGAAACATTATACATACATATATATATATATATATATATATATATATATATTTAAACTTTTATTATTACCTTTAATGGTATTCGACATCGACCAATGAATTCATTATCATGACTACCAGTCGTAGCCGTTACTGCAATTTCCTTAGCTAACTTAACTAATCCGCGAACACCTTTAACATCTTTAACTTTGCTCATTTTTTCAGGCACGGTTTCAGCAGCATCAAAATCCCTGAAATTGGCATTGTATTGGAATTATAACTATTAATAATAATACACACATTTTATATAAGTAGTATATAACTTACCATACTTCAAGGCACAAGATGTCGTTTTCAGGATCTTCTAATGGTCTAAATAATAAATAATGAAAATATATAAAATTCAATTCAATTATATTTAATATAAATTTTTTAAATTACAAGATAAAATTTAGACTTTGCCTATTTTTTTCCTAAACAGGTAGTAAGTAATTTACTAACTTTAAAAGAACATTTATATATATATATATATATATATATATATATATATTAACAATATATATTTTCATGCATAAAAGTTTATTTTTATTTTTAGAACATTTCGTATGTCCTTGCATACTTTTTTTTTAATATTAATGAATTTGTCAAAAATTTAATAATATAAAATATTATATATTAAATTTCAAAAATGTTATTTTATTTGTATAAATATCTTTATCATATTTCACAAAAGTAAAAAAATAAATATTTTACTCACAATTCAAAATGTTCTTCCCAAATTGGACTGAGTGTACAAGTTTTCACGGCAGTATTATATCTTCTGGTCGGAGCTGATTCAAGATAAAGGGCACAAAAAGGATCACTTTTGCCGTTAGAATCTTTAGAGACTAGTTCTTTGGCTTCAATCACTTCAACATTCAGATGCAATTCTGGTGGCTAAAACATGAATAATAAAATTATTAAATATATATAAATATATTATCTTATATATTATATCTCTGTCAAATAATTATAAAAATAATTACTTCGAGATTTTTTGTTTCTTCTAACACTCTTTCGTGTGTCTCATTATCGACTTTAAAAGCATTTTGTAAATGGCTCAAAAGAGTTTCTTGACTACACTCTCTGGAAACGTCGAAGCCAATCTGATGTTGGATCATATACAACAGTGCAGCATAAAGCTCTTCGATCTATAAACAGTACATCATGTATAACATTAATAACAAAGAAGAAGCAAAACACATACATATATATATAATGATATGATTTTTGTTTATCATTAACAGCTAATTTATGTGTTTTAGTTTGTTCAACTTGAACCTCTCATAAATCTTGCTATTGAATTTGCTAACTATATGTTATGACAAAATATAATCTGTCGATATGAGCAGTTTCGCGTTATTTTCGAAGCTCTGTTAAAATCTGCGAATTAAAATACAGAATTTTTAAAAAAAATATTCATATTTTTAAGACAATAGTTATAATCATATAAAAATATAAAAGTACTTTACATAACTTTACATAAACTTTACATAATTTATCATAATATATAATATACGTAAAATTAAAAAAAAGTCGAAATATATCACATAAACTATATTTGAATTTGTTAAATTATTATAATTCAAGTTGAAAGAGAGTTATAACTTGTGATTAATAATTTTAAAGTAACACGATACTAACTTATATTAATAATTTTTTTTTACAATAAGAAAATTATAAAAGAATTAGAATGCAAAAACATATAAATAAAATAAATATAAATACAAGAAGAAAAAGGAAGAGCATGAAAAAGGAAAAAAGGGATATAAAAGTTAAAAACTTGCGCTGGAAGTTTTCATATTCGACTTTTCTGGGAAAACATTATATATAATTTTACGAGTTTTTTTCATCACAGATAGTCGATGATTAAACTCACCGTCATGGATTGCAAGAGTGCATTGGTTCTACGTTCAATTTCAGCTTTTGGCACTCCGCAAAAAGTATTTCTCATACGATTGAGGGTAATCGCCCCTATAGGCGGATTTGTGCTCACCATATTGAATCTCATAGTTATTTTATCACTTTCTGAACTTATATACAAAACTCACACGAATCACACAAATAATTATGTAGTCACATTGAGTTATATGTTCAGTTTTTTTATGATACACATAATATGTACCTAAAAAAGTCATTGTCACATCAAATCGTAATTGTTTCGTTAATGAACGATACGCTGTCAATTTTCTTAGACGATTTGTCTTAACCGATATCGACGACGATAACAAACAGTAGATCTAGAGAAGAGGAATCTAGAGCGACACGACAATGACCCGCGGAAACTCAAGACAGAAGATCATATTGTTATCTAAGAACAATGACGTTTATGCATCAACGATTCTGCTCTCAATCAGACGTCGAACTTGTTCACACTGACACATTCGAATCTTGCGTGAGAATAAAGAATTGACCGCAAAATGACTCTTGTAACCACATTTATTCAAAAATAATAAAAATACTTTAATAATAAACTTACTTTAGCCAAAGCTTTTGTTTTCCGAAAGTTTTAAGTATTATTGAAACTAGAGAGAAAGAGCCGATTTATCGCACGCATGATCGACGAATTTCGCTCTGGCATTAAACGCAGTCAAAGATGAACTTCTACGACGACCACGACCTTTCTTATCGATAATACGATGAGTCGTCGCATATTTGACCGTATGTATGCATAATCGACGATCGCAATCGAGCGTGCATAAATCGTAATATTTTGAAATTAATCGATATCAGTAGTCTAATACGAGCGTGTACGATTACGTCAAATAATAAACTTGGGATAAAATTATCGCTGACAAAATTCTCATTGCATTGTATGTGTATCTCTTTATTTTAATATTAAAGTTTGTGTTACAGCAAGTCTGTGGGAATATAGTTTATTTATTTAATTCGTTGTTTTAAAATTAAAATAATTATAAATAAGTTTTAAAAATGAATTATTTGATCTGTTTCTACTGTGTGTAATATTAAAAAGTGAAGTTTATTTGGCAGTGTCTCTCTTTTTTAGATAATGGATGAAAAATTTATTCGATTTATCAGAGTAAAAACAAGTTAATCGCATATTTTAAGAAAGCAGATAAATTTTAACCGTTGTGATAAATTTTAGGTTGTTAGTAAATACTGCATTATATTATTAATTTATCAATGAACAATGTATATGTTTTACTAAATTAAAAAAAGTATGAAAATTGCAACAAATGCGTTACTGTTATATAATACTGAATTTTTTATGCTGTTATTGTAATTGTAGTTTTTTCTAACATCTTCTAATGTTTCTTATCGTTTTCGCAGATAGAGGATCGATAATACATGCTTCCTATAACTGATTCCATGCTAATTTTAAAAAAAGATACTTCTTAAGTAAATTATATTCCCACAGACTTACTATAACAAACTTTGGAATAGTCAATAATATTATGAATATATTGAACATGTTTCGAATATAATACATTGATACAAGGAATTGGATATATAAAAAATCTAGCTTATGCAATTTTTACAAATTATTAAACAAAAAGAATTACGAATTAAATTAAAAACATTGGCAATAATAAGCTATACTTATAAATTTCTTATCAAGATGCTACTATTTTAAGATAAAATATAATGTAATTTTATTTTATATATTTTGCATATTCTGCTTCTTACATAGGAACTTTTAATTTCTAATGAAAGTTGTGAGGACAGCAATTCTGTTTGTGTGGAAAGACCAGAATTCGGAATACAACCTTCAAGATCAGTGTCCACTGGTAGTTATAGTTGCCAAGTGTAATTGACTCTGACAGTGAGATTTAGGCTACACTCTATATTTCACGGTTAAATTTGCTGATGAAAACAACTTCCTTCAAGTAAACAATATCATAAAATATTTAATATGCATTAATAATTTTCTATTAATTTTATATTTTATATGTTTTTTGGATGAGATGTTTTCTATTAATTTTATATTTTATATGTTTTTTGGCAAGAAGGAGATGTACATATATGTACATTTTAGAGAAAGAAGATTATATTTTCTAATGTATTTAAACAGTTTGAAAATGCATAACAAATCTGGACACAAAAGAACTATGTCGTATCCCGTTTAGAGTGACCTACAGGACAAGTGTAACCACAATGCGTTCATATGTTCGCGCAATTACGTCCAATGAAAGTTGATATACTGACAATTAGTTCATTGGTCATCAAGGCATATCGAGACACCCGTTGTATGATAAATAGAATGAATGTATGTACTACATAGCATGAATGTATGTACTACATGCTTTTGTCCTTGTTATTGCGTTCTTCTCCTCTAATTTTCATAGAATTATGTAATTTTGGACCGGACTAACTCTACGCCCACTTTATTATAAATTCTAATTTTCGACAAGGTAAGATATTTATTATTATTATGTATACAATGTCATAATAATCATGATTACTTTACACAATATTAATAAATCTGAATTTTTAAATTTAAATTTGAATTTTATTTATAGTATATTATTTTTATTTTTACCGTGAAACATATGTAAAAATGTTTCAAAATTACATAATAACGAATACATATATGCAAAAATGCTTTGAAATTATATAATAACGAAAGGCATTTGATTCATATACAAAAAAATTGGTAGTAATGAAAATAGATAACTATAAATATTGAGACTCGCGTGACGACACCACGTGACGATTCGATTCGTTTTTAAACTGTCTCTGACAATTTGCCAGTTTTAAAGGCTATTGGACAAGAGAAGAAAAAGCAGTCCAACCCAGTTTTCCGAGTAGCGATTTATTTTTACAATTCAGCAAATACCAAAAACTGAAGTACTTTTAATTACATTAACATTGTAACTGAACAGAAGCTACAGAAACATTGTATTTAAATTTTTGTATGCATATTGTAAATGAATTATATACTTTTTATTATATGTTATTTTATATTATATATTTTTATTATATTGTATTATATATTGTTTTATACTAATATTTATTAAAATTATCTTTTTTTATTTTTTAAATAATTTTTTAATCTTTATCGAAATTTTAGTTTTTATTACAATTTAATTTTAATTTTCTTACATATACCGATGATGCTTATTAATAAAAATTAAACATAATTTACTTTTATTAGAAGAGAAATACTATTTAAGATATAAAAAAATATAAAATTTTCTTAGTAAAATATTTGCAATTATGCTAATGACATTTACTCTTCTTTGGGACACAGAATTACACAACACATAACAAATTAAACTCTATTTCACCAATCTATGTTCAATTTTAGAATACACATTTCTTGAACACACCAAAAATTTTTTCAGATATTAAAACAAAATAAAACGTAAAATGAATAAGAATAGTTTGCTACTTCTTTCATTGACTTATCCACACATTAATCATGAAAACGCGCAAATACATTTCTATTTTCTTGTTTTAGAACTTCTGTAGGAAAATATATTTTGAAGGTATTTGATAATCCAGTTAATTAAATTATAGTAATTAGCGATAAGACTAAAAGAGGTGGTAAGGATAATCGGCGTGAAAAGACAAGACAGGAACTTGACGGAGGCGAGCACCACACTGCCAGGAATAGATGGACCGACGGATCAGAATCGTCGACTAGAAGACTTAGTGGTAGTGTATTTGTACGTTGTGCATTTGCTAACGCAGACACGTGGATCTCATTTCAGATTGAGTTTAACTACTCGATTAAGCATAACACCCTGTATGGAGGATGCATGTGTGAATGTATAATTGTACTACATATTGAAACTATTCACTTGAGACTGATACTTTTGTATATATTTTATAATCAAATCATATAAATGCAAATCGCTTATAATCAAAGATAGCAAGAAAAAGAGAAAAGATATATTATTCAATAAATATAATAGTATATATTTCTGAATTTCTTTTATAATATATCTTATATATTATTTATATGTTGTAATTTTTTAATAAATTTTATAATTATTTATTTTTTTCTCAAGAGCATAAAAATATTTGACTAAGAATTTATTGCGTGTGATGTACAACATTTTAACTGTTGATCATTATTTTGTATCAAAGTTCAACTTTAAGCTTGTAGAACAACGACTGATTCTTAAATCGATGAAAATTTATTAGAATATTTTATATTTTATCGCATATGACATCACGCAAAACAAATTACAGAAATGTATGAAAGGGATATATTGATTATATTAATCTTTTATAGTCAAACTATTCATGTGTGATTACAGATTATAAGTAATAAAATATTTTTCTACGATAACTAATATAAATTGCATGTATTACACAAATATTGAGCACATTAACGTATATAAATTTAAGATAGAGTGCAAGAATAATGATATATAATGTGTAAATTCGCTTAATTGATTTCAGACTTACGCATTTTTTCTCTTTTTCCTCGCTTTTAGTAAAAAGTGGTTCGTCAAATTTGATTAAACGCATTACTTCATGTTAAATTAAACAAATTCAGCGCTAAAATTTATATTATCAAAGAAAACCATTTCGTGTAACACCTAAGGGAACGTCTAACTTCGACTACCCTTCATTCCGGACTGAGAGACCTTTGGAAAAATCAATACCGTTACCGATCGTTATATACAATTACGTGGCAGGACATACAGCAATGTACGAGAAATATGAAGTTTCGATCTAACAAGCAGGAGTCTATGAATCATGAATATCTATCATAAATAAAAAAGTTGACATTATGTTGTAATTACGGAGGAAATATGTAAAAGTTCTCTTATAATAGACATGTAAAATAGCTTATCACGCATACTTATGAATTTAACGGTAAAATTACGAGATTTATTATTCATCATTTAATATTTACGACTATTTTAAAATTTATCTAATTTAAATTGTTTCGTTAAATGTTATTTTTAATTGTGATTTTTTTCATTTTTATAAGAAACACTCTCTAATAATTTAAAAAAAAAATTAATATAATAGATATAAAGATATAAATTATGAATAGATATAGATATAAATTATGAATGTCAAATGCGCTAGATTTCTTTGATGTAATTTAATTTCACACACAGTTAATGCAATTACTGTTTAAAATTATTTTCCCATGTCGATGAATCTGTCTTGAATTACATACGGCGTGAATATAACGCGTTGTATAAAAGTTCTTTCTGCAGTGCGCAAGCATTACAGACAGTAAAGAGCCATTTCGATCTTGAACAGACCATCCGTTATCTATTGACGTAAAGGATGCGGTATGGAGCTACTCGAAGTATTTTCAGACAACACTCTGTACCGTTAACGCGTGAAAATTTGTTCTCTTGCCGAAAGTAGTCATTAATAATTTGCAATATAATAAGCTATGCAAAATTAAAATCTCAAAATAAGATGCAAAATAATATCTTCTTTAAGAAAAGATTTGATAATCTTCTAATGTTAATTGCGAATTATAAATCTTGGACATTACGCTTGAATTTAAGAGAAATCCGAGTTAAGCAATTTAATTTTATAAATTGTGATGTTTCTTATATATAAGAGATAATAAGTTTCTTATACATAAGATATATAAGTTTCTTATATATTAGATTAGGAAAATAACGCGACTGTTTATAAAAATATATGATTGTGCTATGAAATAAGATAAAATTGTTATGTGATATTTTATCATTATTTAAGAGTAAAAAATTAAAAAAGAATTTTATATATATACAAAAAAGTTTATTTTTAAAATCTTTATTATTATATTAATTTAATATTAATTTACTTTTTGTATCGCTTTTTTTATTAATAATAATATAAAATATTTAACACTCACGTTTAATCCCATTGATTCGGTCAAGAAATTCCGAGCAAGCTCGTTTTCATCTCTATCGCTGTCATCCAGCAGAGCTTCAGTTAGCTCATCGATGTTGTCTTCCTCATTTAAGGAATCTTCTTCTTCTTGCGTTTCATCCTTTTTCTGTGGAAGCGGGCCCTCTGCTTGTTCTTGAGCGCGAACTTTTTCTGCAAGCAGTGTGCCGAGATTTTCGAAAAAACTGCCATCTGATTCTTGAACCCTAAAAATATGTAAATATTTTCAAATTATAGTTAATTCAGGTTATAATAATGATAATAGTTTAATTATATTTTAATTTTTAATATTTTATTTTATTAAAATAATATAAGATTATTTGCATTTTGTCGATATATTAGTGTTTGCTCATATAAAAATAAAATTTCTTTTATTTTTTAATTAAAATATTAAAATATAAGAAATTTATTACTTGTTAAATATAGTTGTATAATTGTCATATTTTTAAATCATATAAAAATATGAATATATATTATTTAATTATAAATGATCAAAAACATAAAATATACTTTGCTATCAAGATATAAGAGAGCTAAAGTAATGTTTAATATTTTATCTAAATATATTTGTTTAAAATAGTTTAAGAGATATTTTTATAACGTGATAAGTAGGGGAAGATATATATCTACATATATATATATATATATATATATATATATATAATTCATACAATAAATAAAACATTAAGGCAATATTCTACATATAATGCGCTTATGTACATATAATGAGTTCGAGGAGTGGTACATTTAAGAAATAAATTTAGCGTATACTTCTGCATATTGTAATATATATATGATATATAGAGAGTATATGATATATGATTAATTGTGTGCAATAAAATAAATAAATATGAAGATACATTACATAGTACTTTTAATATTTTGATATTTTTCTAATAAGACTATATTTCAAAGAAAAAATAATTTGCAAATGAAATACTTAAAATTAAACTTAAAATATATTGTTTTTAAGAAAATAAAACGAGAAAAAATATAGGAAAATTTGGAAAATAGAAAATTCAAATTTGGGAAAAATGTATGCGCGTGTGCAGAAATCGTTAAAAAGCGTGGTTTTACAAGAACACGTGGTTCGCAAAAAACATTACAATGCTACTGCACTAAAGCGCAACGTAAGCTTTTCCACACAAATTGCACACAAATGTAAATCTTCTCATTTCACCTTTTAGTAATAAAGTTGTACGCGGCAAATTTCCAATAAAATCTTGCGACAGTCACTTCTTTTGCTTCCGGTTTTTGAGACATTCGAATAGCAGCGATCGCATAATATGGATGCTTTTTGTCCAGTTTTTCGAAGTGTGCCATTTTATTAATCCTTCAGCAAAAACACAACACGTGTAACGAAAAATTACGTAAGATAAAGAAAAGTACATTACGTTATTAGATCAAAAATATTTTTGTTATTTACTGTTATTCTTGATTTTTATTTTATAATGTTCTAACTTTTCTATGATTTTCAACTAATAATAAGCAGTAAGATTTGTCTAATTTGAAATTAAATAGAAAATGCGTTTATTACAAAGAATAAAATCTTACAAAATTTAATTATGAAAAATTTACAAATTTCACGATAAATTCGAATGCTTTCTATATACACGTTCGCACTTTAACTTCACTATTCAACTTCACTTTGATAATAAATTTTTGTTGCGGAGACAAAACTTCTTTTAAGAGACAATATAATGCACTATAGTAAATATCACGCAGCAAATGTCACAAAAAACTCTTTTAATGTGCTATTTAACATTTAAAAATCAAATATAGTAAATGAATTTGACAATTGATGAATTGACGTTTTTGCTCACATTTTTGTAGACTGGGTTGTTTTTTTCAAATCACTAAATTATCTTTCTTAAATTATGTATGTCTCGTTTCGCGACTTGTTTCACACTGATTGTTGAAATGTTATAGCTTGATCATATAAAAGCCGGAATTTAATTACTTTTCTACGTAACCGGAAACCAGAATCCCACATGCATCATGAGTTATACGAGATTCCCACAATCGCAAATTATAATTTACAAATTCTGTGAACTTAAATCGGCTCGTATTAGATTTATATGAACAGTTTCAATACACTGATGAAATACCGTGTTCTGTTCCTTTGCAAACTGAGTATTGAATTTGACTGGGAAACAGATAACAGATTAGCAAGTAAGATATACTAACATGTTGCCTATTGGGATTTGATTACACAAATAATTTGCGATAGAGATGTAATTAGAATTACGTAAGTTAACAAGGCTTGAAAGAAAATAATAGTTTATTATAACAATAAATGTGCATGTACTATGTGAGATATTTAATATATGAAATTATCTTTTCTTTGTTATGTAAATTGGTAAATAGGATCCATATGTAGCATATTGCATAATCAAGTATATGATAATAAATTTATAATAAATTGAATAAACTAAATAGAATTATAATATTATAAATTATAAATTTATAATAAATTGAATAAACTAAATAGAATTATAATATTATAACAATTCTTTCATTTCTTAAAAATATTTAAAAAAATTGTGATAAGATTAATATTTAGCTGCATGAAATTACAATATATGATATTTTTAATTTATTTTATTTTATTATATATTTATTATATATTACATATTATATTTATTATGCCATTTTAATACACTTTATTTTTCAATCACCTTCCATTTTTGTAGGATTTTCTCAGCACTTATGAATACATTATGCTAACAACTGCTATAAAATCAAAGCGCATATAAATTACGCACAGAT